AAAACCAAACAATCTACCTTAACTCTGAAATCGTCAGGGTGATTCTACGCTTCCTGTTTCAGTAAGTGTGCCAGTAAGAGGAGTTAATTTAATAAAACCAAGTACCCGTAAAAGATTTTGGTGCCTTTTCTTTAGAGTTAAATCCATTTTACATAAAACAAATATAGGTATATATATATATTTTTTTAAATGAGATTAGTTTACTGGCTCTTAGGAGACACAGATTAATTGGGTTTTTGTTTGTATCAGTCATACTTAGTTAACACTGTACTGGAGGAAAACTATTATTATTTTAAAATAGTTCTGTATCTACGTATCTAATTATAAATTATCAGATGATGTGCCCATTAAACACCTGAGGAAGACATGGGGGGGGGGGGTTCATATCTGAATACTAACCCCCCTATGCCACTCCCCAGGAAGCCCTAATGGTACATACCAGGTTTGGTAACAATCAGTCAGGCAGTAATCCAGTTATAAACTTACATAACATATGGGGAAGACATAGAGGTCCCCCATGTCACTTCCCAGGGGACTTTAAGGAAACATGCCAAATTTAGTGATAATAGTACAGTGGTTTGCCAGTTATAAGTGGACACACACACATAGACTTTTGCCAAAATAATGGTTTTGATACATAAAATAATTTTGTTAAAACTCTTTTTGTTAATGTAACAAGTTTCATAAATAAAAAGCAAATATTTTTACCTTGTTATGTTGTAACACCTGTCTTAATAGATCTACAGCCATGTTGTATTTACCAGACTAAAAAGACAAAAAAATAAATAAAATAGCTGAGACAAAGTAATGAAATTTTCTTCAATATGTATCTAAATTAAGCCTTTATATTTCTTGCTAGACAAAAACATTTTAAAATGGAACTTATAATTTAGTCTGATGGTTTATTTGTATCAGGAGTAAGCGAACACTCATCTTGCACAATGTTCCAAATACGCTGGGCAGCACAGAACTAATTTGTCAATAAAAATCATATTATATATGTACTGTATTTTGTAATTCAATGTTATAACATGTTAAATAATATGTAGATAAACTTATCAACTCCTTAAAGAAAGTCTACATGTTCTTAGCAATCTTAAAAGGTGTATAAAAAATAGAAATACCTGGATGTAGATATCTGACAAAAGTAACCAACATCTCTCTAGATATTCAGCATCCTAAAGTTAAAGTTTATAAAAAAAACAACTAATTACTACTTAATTAATCACATGTACTGAACACTTTAAAATATACTTTCACGAATCCTTTAGGGTAGGAAAAATATATACTGAAAACGAATTTATTTACTACTTAACTAATCACATGTACTGAACACTTTAAAATATACTTTCATGAATCTTTTAGGGTAGGAAAAATATATACTGAAAACGAATTTATTTACTACTTAGCTAAGGATTCGTGAAAGTATATTTTAAAGTGTTCAGTACATGTGAATTTATGGTAGGAAAAATATATACTGAAAACGAATTTATTTACTACTTAACTAATCACATGTACTGAAAACGATTTTATTTACTACTTAACTAATCACATGTACTGAACACTTTAAAATATACTTTCACGAATCCTTTAGGGAAGGAAAAATATATATACTATTTACATCTCACTTGAAATTAATCAAAACACTAAATTTTTTTAGACATTCCATTATTTAGTGCTTATTACCGTACAATACCTCAAATTATTTTTTTAGGTATCTAAAATGTTAGAATGAGCATCATATACTTCTATTCCGATACTTGTACATGAGAACAAATCAAATGAGTAATACCAAAAAATTAAATTTTTGTTTCAAAATGCCAAAATTTTGTTTAACGTTACCCCAAAATTCCATGAATTTTTTACAGCTCTCTTCAGCTGGTTTCGAGCTTTAGGTGTTTGCTTTAAGATCATGTAAGCAGTAGCCATACCCAAAATTGCTCCCACTTGGTCTCTCTACAAGAAAAGATTGAAAAAAACATAGTTCAACTGTTGGTTCACAAGATATGTAACTAATATCATACAGAAGTCACAGATACAACTTTGTAAGCAACTCACATGTCTTTCGTCTGCTGCAATATCCATAAAGTCATTCAAAGCGAGCTCTGCATCAGATTTCTGTTTTTTGGACAAAAGTACAAAATTTTTCATGATTCTAAAGTCCAGATCACTTCCAACTTTGGGTCGTATTTCCTTTAAAAAATACAAAATAAAACGAATCATCTTTCATCAAAGATTGATTAATCTTTCACATTCCAATTACATTTCATAAGGTTAAAAATCTTTCAATCTAAATTATATATCGTAAGATAATATACTAACTGAAACATATGAATAGTAAATACCAATAAAAAAACATCCAAAAAGAGTAAAGTTTAGTTTCGTAAGCTTACATTCAAAAGTTTTTCCGCTGTTTTCGATGCTGCTTCCTGAGAGTCTAGTCTTTCACTATAATAATACAAGTTAAAATGCATAAAATCAAAGGTTAAACTACTTTTTCTCATAACAATTAATTTATTTTTATTTTTAAGTAAATATTTGACTTTCCACATGTTTAACAACAGGTTTGGTTGAAATTTGATGAATAAAACACATCTTACCTCCAGCTAAATACAATCTAATCAAAAAATACTTTAGGGGAGACGAAAAAGGTTAGCATGCGACTTAAAGAAATGAAATCAAAATTAGTGGCCAAACTGGTAGCTACACTTATAGTATTGATAAGAATTTTACAGTAAATATTCATTCATTAGTAAGCCTGGTCACATTTTTTGTTCATTTTGGGACATGATTGTGGGCAAAACAAAATATGCAGCCTAGCTAACTAATGAATGAATAGTTGCAAATTGTAAAGAACAAATCAATGAAAGTTAAGTATGATGTTCTATCAAATAAAGTTTCTGTACTTTTGGTGTGAGAAAAAGAAAAGAAAAAATTCAATCAAAAGTGGATATTTTATATCTTGTGTATTTCATGATGGATTGCCTTGAAATTTGGTATGTGAAGTAAGGGTCCAGTAGAGCACAACCACTGAAAATATGTGATAGTTTGGTTTACCACAGTCCAAAAAGTGGATAATTGCTAAACTATCGCTCCCATTAATAACACACAGTGTGTCCTGCAGGTTGTTTTGGCCGCACGACACACTACTGTGTGTCTTGATAATCATTGTATTCATCTTCTAATATTTCAGTTTTTGCACATTTATCAGTAGTTACAGCTACTGAAGGGTCTCAGCTGCAACTTAAAAAAAAAGACTTTGACGTGTTTAAGTAGAAAAATGTAAAATGTGATGACAGACATTTTTGATACAATAATATTAGTTTCAACAATAAAGTAAAAGTGAACTTTCAACATAAATATTAGTATTGTTACAAGAAAAACAACAGAAGTATTACCACTGCACTAAAAACATAATAATAATAATATATACAAACGGTGATTCATAAGTCCATTGACAGGTACGTACTTCAAATATGAAGAGGAATAGAAAAATAATCCTCTTTTCTATTTCATTTACTATAGGGGCACCATACGAGAGTGGAAATGTAACTACAATATTTAACGGAGAAATGAGATTATGTCTATAGACTAATGACAAGAATCGACATCATTATAGCAACCTTGACAGAATCCCAAAAAAATATCATGTAAACTGTCACATAAGAACTTTATAAAATAATTTCCACTTTTCTAATAAAGAAACAAAAATGTATTCATGGACCTGATCCCCGAATCCACAGACTCAAATGTTTCTCCTCCAAGAGTTTCATTGTCTGGATTGACACAAATTTCTATCATGTGATATGTTGCCATTAATCCCCATTCTTGGTCATTCCGAGCTTTGTTAAAACTCTTCACAGCTCCACTAGTGTTTCCCGTGTACCTAAAAAAAAAACACATGTCACAAACTCTTAAAAACACATGTCTACACTATCTGAACAATGTACCACAGAAAATAATTTTACTGCAAGATATTTACTCCTATGAAAAAAATAATGAAACTGCAATAGTCTGAAAACTCTTAAATTCATAAAAAGTGCATATCATAGTAAATTCTGATAATGATATAAATTTCAAGAATCTGAAAAACTAAGTATTTAACTAACATTGGAAAGTTTTAAATTGCAAACTACAAAATATCCATTTTTTCCCAACTTACCACCAGAATATATCAGCGAAATTAAATCTTTTGAAAAGTTTGTCAACTTGTGAATCAGGATTTTTATTATTCTTTAAAATGCAGTGATTTCATATATTGTATCAAGTCTTGTAGGTCATGTTTTGTATGTGGTTTACACGAGATGTGAATAAAATGTGATCAATATGACCTACCATTCATAGAGACCCTTGCAGTAGTGGTATCCTGCTTCCATGCTGGACCTGTTTGAGTACTGCTCCGCTTTCTCCAAGTATGCTGGTAAATCATCCAGTTTGCCGAGTCTACGCGTGGCCTCAATCAATCTGGCCAGAGCAGGAAAATAGTCTGCACAAAATAAAAAGGTGTATTTTTACTATAACATTCCAAGGCATGACTAGTAATGTGATTTACCCCATATATTTAGCTTTGTTATCCCACCAAACTCACAAGTACCTAATACCGTACTGATCTTAATTAATGCCCCCAGGGGCATTACAAACTGCAAGGGGGAGCACAAATTTGTTGATTTCAATGATAATAAACTGTGTGTTTGTTTTTCTTTTTTTTCAAATTAAAATTACAGTAATAAAAAATAATAAAAGTAATAAAAAAATAGAGGGGGCGATAATTACAGAGGGGGGCTTTATTTAGGGGTAATACAGTACTGACTTTTTTGAATAACTTCTGTTCAGAAGTAAAATTTAACCTGGTAATATCTACAACTAATTTGATACACCATTCTCATTTATAGTGATTGGAATATATTGATTCATCAGTATTGTTAGCAATATTTTTGTTTGTAATGTTATTATAACTACCGAGACCCAGATAGAATTCTAAGGTGGCAAAGGACAATATTCAAAACATCACAGCCTGTTTTGAATGAACAATATTTTTGTAAGCCTCCCAAAGTAACAATTTCATTGAAATATTTCTCAGAATAGTATTAAAAACTTGTATATTACAATACGATGTATTTTAACAAACTAAGATTTTCACTATATTTTGATTGTAAAATTTTCTATATTCATAACGGTCCAATTTCTGGGCACATTATTTGAATATGCACTTGAAGAAGATTGTAGGACATCTAAACATGATATACTGTATACAAAACGTGGGTAATTAAATACTTTAACAATTATCTAACTAAAACAAACACTACCTTTTAAAACTAAATCTTTTTTTAGCTGACTTTTCCAGTACAATATATTTAGTTTGTATGTAAGCAATGATTAGATACAAAGTATTTATTTACCTGGTTTTAAAACTATATCTTTTTTTTTAGCTGACTTTTCCAGTACAATATATTTAGTTTGTATGTAAGCAATCATTAGATACAAAGTATTTATTTACCTGGTTTTAAAACTAAATATTTTTTTAGCTGACTTTTCCAGTACAATATATTTAGTTTGTATGTAAGCAATGATTAGATACAAAATCTTTATTTACCTGGTTTTAAAACTAAATATTTTTTCAACTGACTTTTCCAGTACAATATATTTAGTTTGTATGTAAGCAATCATTAGATACAAAGTATTTATTTATTATTGTCTTAAAACCAGTTTTTTCAACTGATTTTTCCAGTACAATATATTTAGTTTGTATGTAAGCAATCATTAGATACAAAGTATTTACTTACCTGGTTTTAAGACAATATTTTTTTAGCTGACATTTCCAGTACAATATATTTAGTTTGTATGTAAGCAATCATTAGATACAAAGTATTTATTTACCTGGTTTTCTGTCTAAAAGCTGTTGGAAGTGGAACATGGCTGACTCTAAATCAGTTTTTCTAAACATCAAGTCAGCCATCATCTGTTAATAAGAAATACATAAAAATACACCTATAGAAACCTTTAACAGAGAAAACCCTAGAGTACATAGTTTCATGAATAAAAGCTACAAACATTAAAGATACTAGTATATTCTTTGTAGGTAGTATAGCCTCACTCAAATCAATTCTGCACAATTGTGGCTATTACACACTGATGGTGATAGTCCAGTTAAAAATTGTGGTACATATTTTAAGTTCTATACCTAAATAATTAAACAATACAATAAAGCTGTTAATATTTATCAGCACATAAATATTACAATATACAGCACTACCGAGTCTCTTAACAAAACTATAACTCACTTCAATAAAAAAAAAGTCCGCTTTTCATGTTTTACAAAGTCATATCGAGCTAAGACAACTGAACATAATGACATATAAAAAAATATATATATATATATATATATATATATATATACACACACATACGTACCAGTGTAGCAGCATCATTCTCTTTGTCATTCTTCAGAACCAAAGTACAATATTGTCGAGCTGCATCCAAGTTGTTAATACTCATTTCCAGCTTGGCCAGTGCTAAAAGCAGCTGAGGAAAGAAAAACATTTGCACTTGTACAAGATTAAAAATATCATTTTGTGATAGTTGCATGAAGATTTTCTAAAATTTTTGATTACAATCATTATTACAAGGAAATACAATATCAATCCTAATATTTACTGTGAAGAAATCAACTATACGTGTAATGAACAAGCTGAAGACAACAAAATTGTTGCACAAAGAGCTGGTAGAATACAAGGTAATTATTAACCACAATCTGAAGAAATCAAATTTATGAATATTCTACAGAATATTACCCATTTGTCATCAGTAATCAAAGGAAAACACAGTTTTATAAAGATTTCAATGAATGTAACTTAATTAGAATTTATTTAATGAGAAATAAAACATTTTTGATTGGCTTATCTACAAATACTAAGAATCTATTTAAAAAGTTGTTTAATCGAGATTAATGATAAATGATGGTTTTAAAATACTGGTTTGAGCTAATGTGATTCTTTCCCAATCACTGCATTAAATAATTGTTTCAATTTTAACTCTACGTCAGAAAATGAAATAAATTGTTTTGATTTCGAGTCATCATATTTTATTAATTTTCAATAACTATATTAAATAATTGAATTACTTTGATTTTGACTCAATATATTTGACAATTTAGTTGTTAAATTTCATTCATTATGTTTTAGTTTTGACTTGCTAAAAGTGCTTAAGTGCTAATGTTAGTAACATAATTCTTTGAGGGATTTACGGCCAACTCCGTAAAGTATCTTAACTATGAACAGTATGACAGAGAGCAAGAATAATCCATAAAATTGTAAAGATTTCTGCTACACATGTAATTGAAATACAGAGATAACAAGCAGATCTTGAGTAGAATATTTGAAAACCAATGTTTGTTCTGTGTAACTTGCTTCTTTTTCAAATACATTTTGTAAGATTTTAGTAAAGAGTTTGTGTGGTGGTTTGCTAAACGTTTTTCCTGACTATATTTTTCTTGGCAGATACTACAAGTAAAGTGTATAGTTAACTTGAACTCACAAACGTGACTACTATACACTTAACATACATTTTGCAGAAAGCTTGTGCACTGCCAAATATGTATCCACAAAATTCATAATAACAAGCAATATGATAAAGGCAGAAGCCTAAGTGGTGAACACAGACAAAAGTTAGAGAAAAGCATCCTATTTTACTTTTAAGATTTAGCCTGCATAGAATTATTGTGATAGAATTTTATACACTGATAAATCTGGAGGCTAGAGGCCCTTCAACTTACATGCAATACAGATCATTACTGAATAGCAATCAAAATGGTCAAGTCCGGTCTGGTCTGTTTGCAATTAAGCACAAAGCTACAAATGGGCTATCTGTGCTCTGCCCTCCATGGGTATCGAAACCCAGATTCTAGTGTTGTAAGTCCTCAGACATGCCACTGTGCTACTAGGGGGCAAAGGCCGGGTCTGGAAAGTCCCTTCCAGACAAAGATTTTTGAATTGGTTGGATATGAGGACAAAAACTGATCTTATACTCATTATCTACAGACCTCATTCCATTTGCAGTATTCATTATAAATAAAATTGACTAATGTGAGCTTCATATAACACTAGATGGATATATATATATAAAACTAAAAAAAAACCATTTTACTCGGACAATATCAGTAACTTTTCAGGAGTCCTAACAAGTTTTAATCTTGGATGATACTTTACCTCGCTGTTGTTTTCATCATAATTCAAAGCTTCTTTGTAATACTGGCCTGCCTGAGAGAAATCCCTCTTGTATAGTGCTTGCTCTGCTAGCTGTTTACAAATGCTGAAATAAGTGAAATACTTCTAATTAAATATTATCTGATATTGAAACAAAGCTGTAGCAATCATTAAGCTCTAAAGAAGCATAATGGTTTCTTTTAATGGACATGGTTCCTAAAATCATGTCAAAATAAATTTCAGGATATCATAATGAAGTTTTCACAACTTTGAGGACATGAAGATGCATGTTTTTTAACAACCAAAAAAAAGTATTAACAGACTTTTAACAGACTCTGATACTGTGAACAAAGAATGTTTTTCTTTTCCCAGATTTATGGAAACAGAAAATTAACTTTAGCTGTCTGATGATAAACAGAGACTTAAATGGTCAACTTTAACCATACATCTTTTAACTTTTTAAAAACTATGTTGCATTTAAGCTGTTATAATAGTTATATCACATCATCATATTTTCAGGAGTTCATTAATATAATTGAAATAACACTGCAATACTAGTATGCATAAAACTAGATTACATAATATTAAAACTTTCACAGAGGTAATTACATTGATTCTTATTTTTGCTGTCACTCGTAATTTAATCTCGTCTATTAGTATTAAATGACGTGAAAATACAAAGAAATTTTACGTAATCAACTAACATCGGATACTTACAATAGATTATTATGAATGATTATTCAGGACAACTGATGTATGAGTATAAATCCACATAATTTGAGGTTTTCCTTATAAAACAAGAACAATATAATTTGCATAAAGCTTACCTGACTGCAATTTTTTTCTGTTCTTCTGCTACATCAGGTTGCTCTACCGTTATTCTTCTCATTACCCTATAAAACCAATCATATGAAAAAAAAAAAGAAAAACCATTTCAACAACTGCTAATTGGCTGTTATTTTCTTTCCTCATACATATAGCTATTCTGTGGTTTCCTTACAGTCTGTGAGGTTGTGGTGTGGATGCACATAGATTTCTGACCCTTGGAAACAACCAGTAGTTTTGGAAGGACAGGGCCAGTGATTTGTTGCAGTTAGAATGAGATAGGCAAGACATGGTGCGAAATTAAAGAAATATAGAGACCTTATTTCCAAGATGAGTCGAAAAATATAAACTGATAAATCCAGTACAAGGGCTATTGCAAATTTAAAGTAAAAATTAACTAATTAAGTTCAAAACAAATGACAAACGCAAATGAACTGAGATTAACATAAAATAAAACAAACAATCTTTACTGGGATTGTTGTTGAACCTACTACACAAACTACAAAAACATGCATGATCAGCAAGTATCCAAATAAACAAGAAACAGAGATAAGACTTCCAGAACAAATATCATCTATTAAATATTAGAAAGAACTATGTTTTTTTTTTCTATCAGTTGTACACAGTTAAACTTTGGTTGATTTTATAATAAAGGTTGTTTGTTTTATTTTATGTATGTTTGTAGTGCTAGGTAAATGTGAGGTTTCATTTTTAACACAAACCTTTCATTTAGTTGATCTGAAATTGAGAAGAACCGAAAGAAAGTGTTGGTCTAATGTTGGAAATAGCTCTCATCATTAGATGATCAGTTTTTGCTTCTGTGTTCATTTGTCAATAAAGTATTTCTTTTTGTTCACCTTCATGTCAAGTCTTGTCACTATCTTTCCACTTGCAGCAAGTAACCACACTTTTCCTCCTAAAGTACACCTGCAAACATCTCATTGTAGCAAAGACCATGTCACCGCATGCTTGATCTAACTTTGGATCATGTTACCACATGCTTGATCTAACTTTGAATCATGTTACCGCATGCTTGATCTAACTTTGGATCATGTTACCACATGCTTGATCTAACTTTGGATCATGTTACCGCATGCTTGATCTAACTTTGGATCATGTTACCGCATGCTTGATCTAACTTTGGATCATGTTACCACATGCTTGATCTAACTTTGGATCATGTTACTGCATGCTTGATCTAACCTTGGATCATGTTACCACATGCTTGATCTAACTTTGGATCATGTTACTGCATGCTTGATCTAACTTTGGATCATGTTACTGCATGCTTGATCTAACTTTGGATCATGTTACTGCATGCTTGATCTAACTTTGGACTACCACAAAGGGTCTGTGCATCCTAACTTATGTATAACTATATTAAAATAATAACATTTGCTGTATCTTAGGTCTTCCTACAACCCATTCTTTTGGCATAAAACTAAACATTTCCAATGTTACATTAGTAGCAAAGTAATTTTGGGGGAAATTTTCTAAAGCATTAGTTTAAAAATATATGAAACACATTTTGCAGAACTCTCTAAAATGTGATGATGATACATACACATACCTTAAGAAGAGATATAAATAATTCTTGAATGTATAAATACAGTTGTAACATATATTTATTTCAAAAATCCATTATAAAAAAGATATACCTTGCCTGAACCTCACGAGCACGTTGAAGAGTTTCTATGGCTCGGTCTTTTTTGTCTGTGTACAAGTAGACTTGGGACAGCAGTAATAAAAACTTTCCTTCCCATTGAAGCCACATTAAATCATTACCTATGAAGATTAAAATTCAACATAAAACTGAAGGATGTATTCTTCTACTAATGCAATGAAAATAAGTTTTATGACATTTTTAAGAGGAATTTTTATCATAAAAACATTAAATAAATCTGTATAGACAAACCTTTTATTCTAGTCTATTTATTCTTAACTTTCATCCATAAAATATTTTAGTTCTTTGACATTCACTCTACTTTATTCAATCAGTCTGAAGAATTTCCATGATTTTGTTAATATTTCTAGTCTGCTTTCATGTTACCACATAATTGAATACTGGTAAAAAAAAAACATGCACCCAAAAACCATTTTAATTTTTTTTTATTTGCTTAGGATATCTTCTAAGAATTTCACAAAGCAAAAGATATCTTACTGCAGTAAATATATCATTTCACACAATTCCCGTATTTCAAATTAAATGTGTAATGATAAGCTAATAACCTGTCCATTAAATACAGTTGAGGAACAATATTTACTGCACATATTTCATACCTTCCTTGTGAATAGTTTGTTTGTTGAATTTCATGCAAAACTACCCCAGGGCTATTTGTGCTAGCAATCCTTAAATTAGAAGTGAAAAACCCACCACTAACTCTTGGACTACTCTAATCCAATAGGGAGAGACTGACCATCACATTATCATGCCCTCAAAACTGAAAGGGTGAATGTTTTTGGTGGTAGTATTCAAACCTGTGACCCACAGACTGCAAGTTGAGTGCTCTAATCATCAGGCCATTTGTGATGAGAAACAAGTATTTAATAAAACTAATGTAATTGGTAAGGTATTGATAAAAAAATTGTCCCGTATCACAAATAATCATCAGACACTTACTATTCAACATTACATGAACAGTCATCAACTTTCTTTCGTTGTAAATATGTTTCTCCGTGAGGTTCTTTAGAAATACAAAAGGGATGAGTCATCATGACCGCTGGTTGTGTAACTCAAATTAACATGTATACTACATCTGAAAAATAAAGGGTTGACTGGAGCATAACAAAACATGATACTTGTGATGAATGCCTTCAACACTCAAATACAAAATAAAAATTGAATCAGCTCAAATGATTTAGTTTCTAGGGTATTTCAGTACTTCTGAAAGGAATATGGTTGGCAAGATTTATACATCTAAGTTGAGGTTTATGGAAATGTTACGTTAATGGTTATTATTTTTTTTAAACTTCTTAAATATGGAATTTTGTTCCCACTATTGCAACTGATTACTGATACTAGTTCGTTAAAAAGGTTCAGTGGTGGTGAGTATATATACATATATGCATATTTGTTGTAATGCAATAGGTATTTGAAAGGTTACCCCCTGGTAACTGGTCAAATACTGAAATGGTACAGCATTTTTTCAATTTAAAATCAAAATGTCTTGTAAAAAAAATAATCAATCATTGTTGGTGGGTTCTTGGAGAATGTGGCCTCATAAAGCTCCAATCACTATGTATGCCATTACTTAATACACACCATGTCTTTCTCCTTCAAGGGCTCCTTGAATAACATCTTCAGCATCTCGGTATCGCCTCATTCTAAACAGAAGACGAGCCAAATCATACCTATAAACAGCAAAAACTGATATGTTTATAGCATCTTTGGCACATAGACGTGTAAAAGAAAATGTCTTTAAGATTATAACATTAGCTACACAAAGACTGCTGCTAAAACTTTCTACAAATTGACAAAATACAAATCAGTCCAAGTGATGTTCAATACAGGGGCAGGCTGGACTCTAAAATTCTAATAAGAAAAAAAAGCTTGAAGGGGCTCACAAATTTATCCTAAAAATAACCAAAATACATACTTAAGAAGTATATATAACTAAATTTTAAAGCATTAGTCATACATAGTTCTCACGATCAGTAATTTTTAAAACGGGGGTGGCCTTCAGAAGATAAGAGACAAGAATTTCAACAGAAATATTGTCAAGTAAATCCTTTTTGATGAACACCTGCCTGGTATTAGAGTTGCAGGTATAAAGTATGCCTGATCTCAAATTTTACTTCTTAGGAGACATCTTAATTTGTATCCTGATTGTTAAGATCTATTAAGTTGTACAATAACCATGCAAGCATGCCTGTAAATGATTAATAACTCATGTAAAACAATTAAAACTCTCAAGCAAAATATGGCACACTAAACACACGTAAAAATTGTTTCCATTAGTACATGTGTAGATACGCAACACAAAAAGTAGGCACAAAATTATCCTGCTATATATTTTAAAAGATAATGAAAGACTGTGACTAGACTTCATTTAACACCCTCAGAAGCAACATTAAAAAGAATAAGAAAATGTTAAATATTTAATGGTTTATGGTTGAAATACTAAAGTTTGATGATCTACTCCGAGTATTTTTTTTTCTTTTTTTAAACCATAATTAAAAATAAATCCCAATAAATTTTGCACATAGTAACAGAACATTAAAAACTGTTTTTTTTTACACCCACAGGACACCAGTTTTCTTTCAAAACTAAATAAGAATGTTTGCACATAGTAACAGAACATTAAAAACTGTTTTTTTACAGCCACAGGACACCAGTTTTCTTTCAAAACTAAATAAGAATGTTTGCACATAGTAACAGAACATTAAAAACTGTTTTTTTACACCCGACACCAGTTTTCTTTCAAAACTAAATAAGAAAGTTTGCACATAGTAACAGAACATTAAAAACTGTTTTTCAGAGCCACAAGACACCAGTTTTCTTTCAAAACTAAATAAGAATGTTTGCACATAGTAACAGAACATTAAAAACTGTTTTTTTTACATCCACAGGACACCAGTTTTCTTTCAAAACTAAATAAGAATGTTTGCACATAGTAACAGAACATTAAAAACTGTTTTTTGTACACCCACAGGACACCAGTTTTCTTTCAAAACTAAATAAGAATGTTTACACATAGTAACAGAACATTAAAAACTGTTTTTTTACACCCACAGGACACCAGTTTTTTTTCAAAACTAAATAAGAAAGTTTGTTATATTTTTTTATATCCATAAAAGTAAAATTGCATAAGAATTACAGGGTCATTTACATGAAAAATAAAATATTTACCTTACCGTAATACACTCTGTCCCCCTGTCTTGATAGCAGCTTTATAATATGTTACTGCCTGTTAATAAAATGTTTTTTGTTTTTTTTATAATCACAAAACTTTTAAATTACAGAAAAAAAATATTTTAAGAAGTATCATTTAAGAACGATGACAGATGCCATAAAAAAAACTTATATGCTCGACAGGAAACATAATTAACCCACAAAATAGGAAATGCTGAAATTAGTTTAATGAAATGTTTTATAGAAAAGTAACTATAATACAAATAAGCTATAACCTGATGACAACAAATATTGTCAAAGTTTCTAGATTTTATAAATATAAAGTTAAAATTGAAAAATATGCAAATAAAACCTTATAAGCTTCACACAATATAGCAATGTACACATATTGGAAAGTGTGCTGTTAAGCTTAGTTCATAATATTTTTAACAAATCATATTTACTGTAAAATCTCCTTATACCCATTTAATTGTTTACAATTTGTTACACACTAAATCATTATTATCGAGTTGACAGCTTAGTAATGAATTAGTTTTGGGGGACCATCCAAGCTCAGGAAGAGTTTGTGGTGGTCAAAATTTGTAAAGCTAAAGGTAAGATACACAGTATGGACTTGATGAAATATAAAGAGAAAGACAGAATCATTTTTACATAAAAAAAATATTATTATTTTTTTTCTTATCATATTGTAATGCCATTTTGAGAAAGTTTTCTTACTTTATCATAATGATGTGTTTTCACATATGCCTGACCAATCTTCCTAGCTAGCATGCTGTCCCTAGGATTTTTCTTGAGAGCCTGCTCATAGACTTCAATAGCTCTGTCTGGCTGTAGAGTGTTAAAGAAAAACTGAAAGATTTTGGACTGACATTTAAATGTAAGTTTTTCTTTAAAAAAATCTCAAAGTCAAAACTTGTTTAATCGTATTAAAATCATTACGTTTTAACATGTAATAGATTACCCATTCAATCCATAAAAGCAGACATCATTCATAACTGAGTATTAAGCACTTGAAGGGTTGCTGTTGTTTTCTCAAGAAAAATCTACACAATGGGCTATCTGCAATCTGCCCAACACGAGGAATTAAACCCCAGAGTTTTAACACTGTAAGCCCAACTTACCACTAGCCCACTGAAGAAAATTTATTGAAGGAGAAAGTCATTTATAAAATAATAAGGTCAACAGGTAGTTACAAAATAAGAGGTTCAACAGGAAGTTATAAAATGAGAAGGTCAACAGGAAGTTATAAAATGAGAGGGTTAACAGGAAGTTATAAAATAAGAGGGTCAACAGGAAGTTATAAAATAAGAGGGTCAACAGGAAGTTATAAAATAAGAGGGTCAACAGGAAGTTATAAAATAAGAGGGTCAACAGGAAGCACATTTCACAATGGTAAGCGATTTCATACTCTAGAAATAAACCATTCATCTACATTTTATCTTATATTACTTCATTATGAAGTGAGTTCAATAAGTTTTGTAAAATACTAAATAATAAGTAAATGTGATCTCAGGTCCAAAAGATTTAAAACACGAGTAATCATGCAGAGGGCTAAATTTATTCCATTCTATTCTGTTTATTTCATGGACATAAAGCTGTGGTTTTACTTACATTATATCGAGTCCTTGGAATGTAAAAATCAAATCAAATATGCAATAACAAAGACACTCAAAATTAATTTCTTTTCTACTTAAAATCACACATATATAGACAAACAGATGTAAGATTTCTAAGCTACCCAGTCTACTCTAATTTTATTACAAATAATTTACCCAAAAGAACTTACCTCTTGAATGTTCATGTATGCATCTCCCAGCAAAAGATAAGATTGTGGTGTCGGGACTTTGTCTACCACCTCTCTAGAGTAAACACACACAAATATACATATCCTGAGGGCATTAACTTTAAAAATACAACAACGCTTTATATAAAATCAAATTGCTATTCTCCGAATATGTTTAGAGTTCATTAATTTCTGCAGAAATAGTTAATGTTGGAGGGTCAAATGTTATCTCTACCTCCATTCCATAATGTTCAAGTAATATGATAAAAACCAACCTGTAACAGCTGGCATACAAACGGCGATCATTCCGGTGGTGTAGATAAATATTTGCCATCTTTTCTCTTGCCTGAAGATAGTAAGGCTGCTCAGGTTCTACATTTCTGAGGATTCCAAGTGCCTGTTCTACGTCTCCTCGTGCAAGGGACAGATCGGCATTTGCAACTGTGATTCTTATTGCTTCCGGTGTTCCTTGAAACTCATTTATGGCATCTTGCATTATTTTGGCTGCTTCATGCTGCAACACATTTTATCAAGTTGGTGCGATACCGTTCACTGTTGTAAACGTATTCACTACAAACTATAATGATCATAATATAACACCTCTTGTAAGTGCAGTAAATGACCTGTGTAATAATACTATAATAATCAGGAAAGACAAGATCATGGTGAAATGTTCTTTTAGAAATAAAAAATAACAAAAGAACATTGATAAATAGATCGGTTTTTCTAATCTAAAAATAAATCATCACAGATCAATAAATAACAATGATTATCTTAAGATGGTAATCGTAACAGCTTAGATGCTTAAAAAGCAAATGTACTTCCAACACTATAAACCATTGAAAATTAATTTCAACAAAACCAACAGATAATGCTACCACATAATAAACTTGTGCTGAATGTATTTCTTCTTTTTCACCATACATGATGATACACTGGAAAACTGGGTGTAGTGTAACACTCTGTTGGCCTAGTACGTACTATTAGAATCTCATTCTGTACGTACTAGGCCAACAGGGTGTTACACTACACCCAGTTTCCCAGTGTATCATCATATTAGAATCTCATTCTCGATGATACACTGGGAAACTGAGTGTAATGTAACACTCTGTTGGTCTGGTACGTACAGAGTGAGATTCTAATATGATGATACACTGGGAAACTGGGTGTAGTGTAACACCCTGTTGGCCTAGTATGTAGAGAATGAGATTCTAATATGATGATGCACTGGAAAACTGGGTGTAGTGTAACACCCTGTTAGCCTAGTACGTACAGAATGAGATTCTAATATGATGATGCACTGGAAAACTGGGTGTAGTGTAACACCCTGTTAGCCTAGTATGTACAGAATGAGATTCTAATATGATGATACACTGGGAAAGTGTAAAACCTATTGATTCAGTATATACTGAATGAGATTTGTATGAGAAATATACTGATCTCAATGTTGCTCTCACCCACCCAGTCTTGACTACATCTCTGCTTTGAGTTCATAAAAAAAGTTTAAAAACATCAAATAGATTTATCATTCCAAACAAGAGTCATAGCTTTCCACAACTTCAGCAGACAAGACATAAAGGCTCAAACATGTACAGTCTTATGAATCGACGGTGGCTGTTTACGGCATTACTGAAATCTTGACCTTCATTGATTTCCTCCATGAAAACATCAGTCATATTATCACTGGTACCAAAACTTTTGTCAATACCTAACTAGCATCTCAGTCAAATTAAAACTTTTGTCAACAATTTGTTTTCGTTTTTATCAAGCTATTTATTTTTCATTCCAAATCTTGTCTCTTCTATACCACTACTACAAATCAATATGCCAATCCTTCCAAATACTAGGTCCCCAAATTTCTAATTATCATGGAGATAAGGTAACTGTGTGTTCAGTTTACCTTTGAATTATCATATGTAGTCATTCTATGTGTAAGTTATATAGTAACTTATACAGTATCAATTACATATGCGGCTGCAAGAGAAATACTGACCTGTTGGTCTAATTGACGATAGGTATCTGCCAGTTCCAGAAACAGTGACACTTTATCACTGGTACTAATATGATGCTTAGGTTTCCTGCTTGATGCACCTGGAATCAATCAAAATAATAACAAGTGAACAAGAAAATAATCATAAAATCATGAAAGGCAATTTTAGTTCCACAACAGCAATTAGAAAAATAACTGGTCATAAATACCTCGGCTTGTATTTAAAGCAAATCTGTTTAACTGCTTATAAATCACTTTTTTGAACATAAACAGAGTGAAGAAATTTGCTTTTTATCATTTTGATTGATTTATGAAAGTTAATAATTACTGTTAAACAAAAATTACATAATAAGCATTCTTCTGTTGTTTATGACAACTAATAACACCTCCTCATGTTCTTGTCAGTGTTGTATAATTGATGACTAAAAACCGCAACAAAGCTGAAAACACATACTCGATGGTCTTAAACCTGCAATTGTCATAGCTGCTAGTAACGTTTTTGCTGCTTCCTCAAAATGGCCTTGTTTCTTTTGAATTTTAGCTTTTATGAGATGAAATAGAGGCCTCTCTCGAACCTAGAAAATAAATTAAACTTTCTATTATTTTTGATTGACATATACAACAATCTTGGGCATCACATATTATGATGATATAGATTTTAAAGATTAAGTATTTATTTTTGACTTATTAGCAGAGAACAAATAACAAACATACTTAAAGCTAGGAACTGTGGAACCATTTATTAAAAAGATGTTCAAATAAATTGCATCATACAAAGTACATCAACATTACATTATAAAACTTGAATACAAGAAATTATTACCACTGATAAGTTCAAGTTACTGTTTTGTTTCATTAATGTGATGAATAACTATCCTTAAGCTATAAATTCAGTTAAATATTTCAATCCTGTGTAGAGAGAATATTAAGTCTTGTTATTTCATGAAATAAATTGATTTTTTTTTTAATTATTAAAATGCAACGTCCAATGACTGTTCGTTCAGGTACCAGTCACTAGACACTCGTTCAGGTAATGTCTAGTGACTGGTACCTGAACGAATGTCTAGTGACTGGTACCTGAACGAATGTCTAGTGACTGGTACCTGAACGAATGTCTAGTGACTGGTACCTGAACGAATGTATAGTGACTGTTACCTGAACAAATGTATAGTGACTGTTACCTGAACAAATGTATAGTGACTGTTACCTGAACAAGTGTTAGCATTTGTTACCTGAACGATTGTCTCGTGCTTGTTACATGTCATCCTTTTAAAACATCCATAGTCCCAACATATGGAGCAAGATTTATATTTTGAGTTACAGTACACACAAATCCACAGTATGGCAAGCTATGAACTTTATGGAACACTCAGTTTTCTCATTTAATAAAAAATTCATATGTTACTTTACTGTATTTATTCCATGGTAAATAAGAACACTAATTAAAACTTTAGTCACTGGTTTGTTAATTACTTGTTGTGAATAGTTCTTGCATGACTTATGTTATTATGCTTTATATGCATATAATATTTTAAATTTTATTGTTTTACTATATTTTTCTGTTCACTTTAAAGAAATGATTTTTTACTCTTCTGGTGTAATAAAAGTGCTCAGTTTCAAATATGGCATTATATAAATGAATGTATTAAACTTTAACTTCATTGGTTCAAAGTGAACATACCTCAAAACTGTAGCTAAGTGCTACTTCTAAGGCCTGGTTAGCACTCTGATGGTTGCCTTGATGGAGAAAAATCTGAGCTAAGAGAAGCCTTCCATCAGAAAAGGCAGCATCATGCTCCAAACACTTCTGAAGGATTCCCTGGGCAGCTGAAGAGTCACCTACATTCATAAAAAGTTAAAAAAAGCATTAGAAAAAGATGAAAAACATATATATATATGTTTAAAATCATTAAGTCTTCAATATAATTCTAAATTTACTTAATAAAGGTGAACAGTCCTAGAACATCAACCTGAGATATAAATATCTCTAATACTGAATCGGAAATGAGAATGTGCACTTTTGACTGTGTGGTAGCACTGTAATAAAAAAGACAAAAAAGTTTGAGCAGAATTAAAAAAAAAACCTTTTACATGTACACAAATCTTTTGTATCTTTGACATTCCATCACATCTATAATACAGATGATATGATCATCAATTACTGACAAATATACATCAGCATTTCAAAACCTTGAAATCAATTATGACCTCACATTTGTTTCATAAAGAGTAATATTCTGTTTCACTGTGCTTGTTTCATAAAAAGTAATGTTCTGTTTCACTGTGCTTGTTTCATAAAGAGTAATATTTTGTTTCACTGTGCTTGTTTCATAAAGAGTAATATTCTGTTTCACTGTGCTTGTTTCATAAAAAAGTAATATTCTGTTTCACTGTGCTTGTTTCATAAAGAGTAATATTCTGTTTCACTGTGCTTGTTTCATAAAAAAGTAATATTCTGTTTCACTGTGCTTGTTTCATAAAAATTAATATTCTGTTTCACTGTGCTTGTTTCATAAAAAAGTAATATTCAGTTTCACTGTGCTTGTTTCCTAAAGAGTAATATTCTGTTTTATCGTGCTTGTTTCATAAAGAGTAATATTCTGTTTCACTGTGCTTGTTTCATAAAGTAATATTCTCTTTCATCGTGCTTGTTTTATAAAGCAATTTTGTATTGTTTCATATGGAATGAAAAGCTATTAGTTGATAATTTAACTTTCAATCATATTTTTTCATTCTTGTCTTTTGGGTTTAAAAATATTCCTAACTTCATGCTTCCAAATCCCTACTTTTATAAACTTTTTGAAAGAATTTTTGTACGTCTCAATTTATGGAGAATAGTCTTGAAAATCAAGAAACTCTCAGCCAAACAATTTTTGGCCAACCAGAAGAACTAATGATAAAAAAACCAACGAAACTCTGATAGTTCTCAGTAAGATATTGCATGTTTTTGAAATGTATACACAACATGAACAATAACCAAACAATTTTACACATAAAATAAACAACTGCTGAACAGTCATCTCACCAGCCAAGTATTTCAGCTTTGCTGTGAGATATGAAGCTTCCAACAGACCAGAACAAGCTTTAGTAACAGGTTGAAGAATTGTAAGGCCTCTTTTCAATGCTGGAGGTTGAGGCTGGCCTACGGTTACAGGCTGAAATATGGATGTATATACAAAATGTTGGTTTTTACTTGTAAAAGACACTCAGTATTATTTACATAACACTTAAAACATAACCATCTAACTGTTTAAACTGTACAAATCTACAATTCTGCACAAACTATTATCAAACCACATGGTGTACACATGTAAGAAAAAATAACAACTATAAAAAAAGTTAAGAGTAATTTAATTATCTCAATTAATCCATTAAAAAATTCATGCTAGCAGTACTATTCCATGTTTAAAATTATAAAGTTCAAATTATGTTTCAACAATAATGCTTTATATTTATGTATTAGTCACAAGCACTTTTTTCCAACAACAGATGCGCATGTAACATATTACACGTAGTATCACAAGAAAAACGCTACTTTTCAGTTGAAATCAAGCTAACACTAATTTTTTTTACCATAGTTGTAATAGATTATTTAATAAACTAAAATTAAGATCAATAAAACTGTAGGTACAAGTCTTATCACGGGGTTTATTACCTTTAACTCCAAAACATTACAGGAGCTACTGCTTGGCATTATGAAGCATTTTAAAGCTACAATATTACACTTAATATGTGCTCGAAAGAATCAGTGATAAGATCTTTATTATATATAACTTCCTTCATTTCTCATGCATATGTTTATATTTTAGAAACAGTTTTCACGAAATAAATAATTGTTATTTTTCATTACTTGTATTCTCGTGAAGTAATATGCTTGAACAACCTTTTCTGGTAACTTTTGAAAATAAATACTGTATTGCAATTCTATGCAAGTTATGAATTTTAAAAATGACACAAATAAATACTGAGCTTACTTTAAGATATTAAACCCCATCCATTCCAATATCCATGTAAATAATATTTGAAATATTAGCTACTTAACTATTTTTTTAACCAAAATTTAATTAGAACTTAGTATAGTTTTAATGCTACAAATCCAATTCAAAGCCAGTTCCTTAGGGGGAAAAAAATTAACTCTAGCCCTTAATGAAAATAGTGAAGATTTATCTGGTAGTGTTGACCTTTCAGTTTTCTTATATTTCTAATGATCTTTGTCTATAATTGATAATAATTTATTACATGGCTAGTGACTTTATGGTTGTTGAAAACAATGAATTTAATTTATCAAGAAATTAAAATTTTTCTCAAAATACATGGCTTTATCTTAATTCTTATATGAACTGTTATTTGTTAAAGTAAGTTTATTTCTTGTTGAACACTTAGAGGAAACCAAAGTTTTCATGTACAACAAAAAATAATGTGTTTGTTTGTTGTTAAGTGCAAAGCTACACAATAAAACAAAATCACAATGTAGTTTATTCTAACAAAATAAATGTTTTTGTGTAACAATTAACTCTTTCAACCTTTAATAATTAACAAGAGTGCTTATTACATTAATTTGCCCTCCATTGGCTCACCAGTAAGTCTGAGAGCTTCCACTGCTAAAAACAAAGTTTTGATACTCGTGGTGGGCACAGCACAGATAACCTAAAATATTTTTATCTTAAACTATTCTCATTAACATTGATATTGTATTGAAAGATTTCCACAAACCTGGTCTGGCACATAATGCATATACAACTTGACTATAAGCAGAAGAAAGTCTGGGTTTAGATAGAGGAAATAAGTCAGGCCTAGTGGTAGACTCTAAAATCAAATAAAATGAATGAAAATTCATAAAAAATTAAATGTGACAATAACAAATAAAAGCAATTTTTTTTACAGAATAATTTAAAATTCTCTAGTACTCATACAAATAAATCCCACAAAATACTGTTAAAAAGGTTTTAGTTTGTTTTCAATTTCGTACAAAGCTACACAAGGGCTATCTGCACTATCCGTCCCTAATTTAGCAGTGAAAGACTAGAGGGAAAGCAGCTAGTCACCACCACCCACTGCCAACTCTTGGGCTACTCTTTTACCAAGGAATAGTGGGATTGACCATCACATTATAAGTCCCTCATGGCTGAAAGAGCAAGCATGTTTGGTGGAATGGGGAATCAAACCCACAACCTTCAGATTGCAAGTCAAGCAGCCTAACCCTTGGCCATGCCAGGTCTTTTTCATTTTATATTTTCCAGGTGAGGCCAGTGAAGGAGGAATGGTTCCTCCTGGACAGTAAAAGTACCCCGGAGCACTGGACCAACGTTAAGGGGACATTTCCAGAACCCACACTTTCCAACTTCATCCGGGTGAATACAATGTGCATACCATTGATAACCACATGCCAGGGTCAGAGCAATTAACAGGGAGAACATCATACGGATGCTAGGTATGAAGTATGATACCACGCATACATATACAGCTCCA